ATTTTTGATAATTCTTTTTGTGATGTAAAGACCTTATTACAAAGAATCTAAACCCATTTAATCCCATTTCAACCAATGGTTGAGACCTACTTTAATTTCACATTAAAGTCACCAAAAACCTTTTTTTTTTTTTCCAACAACCAACATTAGAAACCAACACCAACTAGGAAACATCAGAATCTCTCACATCAATCCACGCAAATCCCCTTGTAAAAAAAAAAAAAAATGTTACAACATACCTTAACACATACATCAAGAAAAATCAAAATGAAATCACAATATGGGCAAAAAAGTAAACTTCAAACACAATAAATTAAACAAATAAACCATACCAAAAATAAAAAAGACTAAATGGTTCAATTAAAAACCCACAGGATTAAATAGAGCAACATTTTCCAAAATAGGATTTATGAGTAATTTTTCCTTTTTTGGGCATTTGAGAGTAGATTTGAACAATTTTAAAACTATGAATCCATTTTTTATTTAATTTTGAAAAGTTAAAGTCACTAGACAATGACAGTTTAGAGAAATATTGTATCAATTTTGATAGTTTTCAAAAATATAAAGAGTTTAAAAGATATTTATGGTTGGGCATTCGGTCTAAAAGTCTAAATTACATTTTTATTTGGCTAAAGATCTAGGCGGAGAAACACGTTGTCCAAAAGGACAAATTCAAGCAAAATGACCAAAATACCCTTTATATATATTGAAATTCATGAACTTTCTCTCTTTTCCTCTCTTTTTCTCTCTTGCTCTCTGTAGACACCCCATTTTTGACTGACTTTAAGACTCAGACGTCATCGTTTGTGCACCCGATGATTGTGCATGTTTGTACTCATTTTGAGTGCCCGAAGCTCTCAGCGGAACACCTTGTCTTTGAGCCTCTAAACTCTCTGTGTTTTGGCCTTGTTTTTGGGCCAAACCTTGGTACCTTGGTGCCCCTTGCTTGGGGGGAGGAGAGGCCTTGTCAGCCACTTTTGGCCCTTGTCGGCCACTTTTTCCTCTTGTTGGCCACCTTGGTTGGCTGGTTGGCTAGAGGAGGTGGCCGAGTGGCCGACATCCATTTTTCTCATTTTTCCGATATTTTATTTGCCAGTTGTGCCAGCTGTTGATCACTGAAGCCATCCTCCATACACTGTATGGAGGGATGGAAACAAGCTTTTGGCTTGTTTTTCTATATAAGGGGAGGTCCCTCTCCCATTTTGAGGGTTGAGAAAAATTGTGAGCAAATTTTCACACTCTCTCTAGAATCCTCTCTCTTTTTCTATTTAGTGCTTGCAAACGAGTTTTCTTCACATTTTTGCATACAACCCCTTAACCAAATTACACTATCTTGTTGCTGAGGTGCTTGAAGGTCTTATTTGGGCTGTTGAAGGCTGGTTTTGGCTCACAAGTTGCTTCTTTGCTACTGTGCTTCAAGGGTAAGGTTTTACCCTCTTTAAAGCTTTATTTAGTTGCTTGTTTGGCCACCTTTGCATGCTATTTTTGGCCTACTTTTCAACTACAAAAACCTCTATTTTTGAGGTTTAAAAATGTTGGCTTGAGGCCTTTTTGGAGTTAGGGGTGGTCCACTCTCTTTTGTGGCTTGTTTGCTAAGCTTTGTGCCATCTTTTAAAGCTTTTAAAACAATATTTTTTTGGCCTTTTAACAATTGAATTCCAGGGAAATTTCAGTGGTAGAAAGTTAGTTTTGAGGTCCCAAATAGGAGGGGGTGGCCTCCCCTCCTTGTATTTTGTTTGCATGTGTTGATGGCCTAATAAGTGAGCTTCTATTTCTACTTTTTTTGAAACTTAGTTCAAACATGTTTTAGGCTTTATTTTGACCTGGTTTAACTCTGTTTTTGGTTGGTTGGGTCAATTCTTGCTTGCTTTTTATACTTGTAGTGCAATCTTGCTCACTAGCCTTGCATGCCTAATGAGTTAGTTTATCATTCTAGCTTGTGTTAGCTTAATTCCAGCACATTTTTGCTACTGATTTAGCATGCTTTAGCTCTACTTTGGGTGGTCTTGGTCATATATGCTTTGCTTTGTATAGCTATAGTGTAGTTGGACTTTACTAGCTTTGTGTCTGAGGCCCTCTAGCATGCCTTATTTGTGATGTTTGCATGGTATAACATCATTTGACATGTGATTTTAGAGCATATGCCTCTGTCACACTCGCACATATATCACTCTTTAATTGCTTTTGAGAGTTGTGCCCTATGCCTTGTTTGCGAGCCAACATGTGTGCATGATCTTCTATTCTTTTGTGCCTTAATTTTAACATGTTTAGGCTACTGATTTGGCATGTTTTAGGTCTGTCCATAACTGGTTTGGTTGTTTGAGCTTGATATTGCGTACTTCTAGTGTAATACACTTCACTAGCTTTGATGACTTTGGCTATTAACATGTTGTGCATATGTTGATTGCATGATTTTGTGTCATTAGCATGCCATATCAGCACTGAAAGTCTGCCACCTCCCTCCATTCTTCGCTTTTTAATTTTCTTTTGAAAGTGGTCTTAAGGCCCTTGTCGGCTTGAGCATGAACTTGAGATATTCGTACCTAATGGTTTTAATCCTCCCTTGAGGATTTCTACTAACCAACAGCATGAGACCTCTTTCATGCTCAAGGCATCTGTGGCTTAGACCATCTTTCTAATTAGAGGACTTTCACATTGGACTTAACCAGTTAAAGGACTAATTGGTAAGCTAAAATGTGTAAACAAGAAATGGACAAAGCAAAACATGAACAAGATAAGCATTCGTGTTGCATTGCATGTGTTTGGATCGGACGTTAATCCAAACACAAGAAATGTGGGACATTTCATACTCATAGTGATGAAACGTGTCACATTTCTTGGTCGCTGTTACCCTTGATCGTGCATGATAGGGTGGTGGCCAATTGAGTCTTATGTGTGCACTGACTAAGCTTGTACAAGCATGGTTTTTGGGCCATCATGCATTGAGATGCTTGATTGGTGGCTTGAGAGCCAAGCGCCACACTCCTTTGAGCTTAAGAAATGATGAGGAGGGTGGCAGTACACACATTTCCTTGCAAATGCATTGTCTTAGCTCTATTATTCTCTGTTGCAACAAAAATAGCATTTTGGGAAAAGAGGTAGCTGACCGACCGATGGTAGTAGCCGACTGGCCACTTGCACTAGCCGATCGGCCAGTTGGAGTGGTTGGCAGCCATTTTTGGTGGCCGACCGGCCACCAGTCCATTTTGGTGCAAAAATGTTCCTATTTTTGGGCAAAGGCAGTCTGAAGTTGGCATAATTTTCAGAAATCAAGACAAGTGCAAACAGAGATAACTGACAGCAAGGCGATGGATTTCCGGAATGTTGACAACCGAGCATGCATCTCTCCCTCGCCCGCAAGGCCATTTAATTGCTTATGATTAGTTTGTGTAACTAATTAATCAATTCATTTTGTAATATCGTAATTAGCTTAGCATAGCTAGTTATTCGATTGTGTTATAATAATTAATTAGCTAAGTTAGTTGATTAGTTGGTTTGTAATAATTAGCTTAGCTTAGTGTAGCTTAACTTATTTATTCGGACCCTCCTTCGAGGGGGCGCAATGTTGTAATAAGCGTGCGTGTGTGTGCACGTGCTTGTCTTCCAACCCCACGTTTTTCTCCCTTTTACTTAACCGCTATCGATGGTTAGATTAGGGCACGTTTTGATTAGCATACCTTATGCTTGCATGTTTGCATTGTTCATTTGTCTTGCATGCACCGGGGCTTGGCGCATCATTCAAACTGCATTGTATTTCAATACCTATTTGAATACGTGTTTCAAAGCATGTTATCAAGTGTTGCATTTATATACCATCTTAGATAGCTGAGCCTATTTGGTTGCATTTTTGCATGTGTGTTGCATTAGGCATCTTAAACATAGTTAGGATCAAGCATGATTTCTAACTAGCTTTTGTTTTGGCTCGGAGTACACTGTAAGTTTTACGCTTTAGCATATTGCATGAGTGTGAGTGTTGCCATAATAGCATGCTTACCATGAGGCTATTTTCTTAAATGCTAAACTGCTTGAATGCTTGTGGATTAAGGCTTTATTGCTTGAATTGGGACAATTCGACAAATGTATGTTTTAAGCCCACTTTGCGAAGTGGCAAAATCATTTTGTTTTAAGCCCACTTGAGGGTGGCAAATCCCTGTTTTAGCCCACTTGCGAGTGGTATTTTCAAACCATTTTCTAAAACAAACATGAATTGATTTGTTCCAAGTCTTGCGATTTTTCTTCTATACTTGTATGCTGTGCGCATCACATAATAAGATAGCTAATAACCGGAATAAGAACACATGTGTTTATAAAACAACATATCATGCTTAGTAGAGGTCGATCTTTGATCGGACGAGCGGGGGTGCTCATTTTAGGACCTTCCCCTCTCGTACCCAAGTTTCTTAGTCGAGGCAACTTTGGTGATGATGGACACGTGGCCTTTGGCACGAGTTAGGGTTTCCTAAATTTTCCAAAAATAAAATATTTAGGTGGCGACTCTGTAATCTGGCAAAGTAGTCCAGATTTGGCAATATTTGATTTAAAATCTGATTTTCCAAAATGATTTTCCAGATTGGACTCTTTGGTGTTTATCAGTCTCACATTGCATTTTGTGAGATTAGATCCAGAACCGTGACAGGAGTCCGAACTGTAGAAGACCAATTCACGCCTCTCCGAAAGGGGGGCGCACGAAGAAAGTCGAGCGCTACACACACTCTCTCTCTTTCTCTCTCATTTCCGATTTTGCTGCCTATCGCTCTTCGTTGCTGGTGCCAACAACCTCCATAACATGGTTGTTGTTTCCTGTCGTCGGCATGGCTCCGCCGCTGTTGTGGAGATCTGCAAGATCCTTATCTCTACCAAATTCTCATCTCCATTAACCCATACCTCATGGGTCACACCGTTATCCACCACCATCTACCAATGTTCACCGTTTCACCTTCCAAGCCGCCCTCGTCTCACTGCCACTACAGAGCTAGATCTACCACCACCGCTGTCACACGTCACCTCCACTGTCGTCCATGTCCACTTCCTGTAGTGGTGCCATCGCCGATCTCAGATCTCAAATCTACAAAGCCCATGAAATCCCAAACAGATCCACATCGTTGCTGAAAGAAAAGCTTCAGAAAAAGAGAAACCATTTCAAGCTTCATTTATTTTATTTTAATGACGGCCACAGCTAGGGTTTTCTTGATCTCTCGCTTCATTGATCTTAAAGCCCCTTCAACCACCTCATCCTCTTCACCTCCTTATCCGCTCACTTTTCCTCTCATTCTCCTTCAAGAAATGTCGCTCCGTCTACTGTTTTGTTTTCGGTGTTGACAGTGGCAGAGTCTCCGACGACTTCATTTTTACTTGAAAGTTTGGTTTTGATCAAGAATTCTTTGTTATCTTCAACATGCTCAAGAAGATCGAACCTCTCGACATTTTCGTTATTTCCAAGGGCATTTCTAATTTCGCCAAGGATTCCATGAAGTAGACCATCTCCATCATGCTTGATTTGTTTCCCTCTGATCGATTCTCCGTCACTATTAGGGTTTCAAAACGTCATTTCGATTGCCTCCTTATGTCTTCCATAATCACTCAGTAAAATCACTTGTAGATAGATATGTAAGAAATGGTTTGAGAAATGGTTTGGCGTTTGGAAAAAAAAATAGATTTTTTCCAAACTTTAGTCTAATTTTTAGGTGGGACCCATGCACCAAAGTTAGCGGGTCCATGTGGCAACGGGTTCTTTGCCGCGTAACGATTCACGTCGTATATTTGGTTGCTCAAAACCATTATTGGGTGAATGGGAAATTGAAGCCAAAGTGAGCTCCATAAAAATGGTGTGTTTGGTAAAATTTCCATAAAGGTTGGAGCTAAGGTTTCTCCCACATTGCTTTGGTGGGCAAACTTTGTATGGGTTTATAAGCCTTGGGTTTGCAACTTGGGGAGAGCCCCAAGGGGTACCCAAGTTTTGTGGAAGGGTGAGGTTATGGGCAAAGTGGGCTAGACCCATTGGACCCAAAACACACGCGTGGGCTATCATTCGTCCATCCGTTCGGGCTAGCTAGGTTGGGCTTGAACGCGAGTGCATGGTGTGAGGTTGGGTTGGGTTGGGCTTGTCCGGCCCAATGTTTATCTTTTTGGGCAAAAAACATTTGAATTTAAATTAAATTCTTTTGAATTTCAGTTTGAAAAATTCAAAATTAATTCGCTTGGTTCAATACACCTTCTTTTTTTACCGAACAGGTTCCTACCTATTTAATTTAAATCTGAACAGGTTCAAACAGGTTTGTATCTGTTTAATTCAAACCGCATAGGTATTGTGCCTGTTCGAATAGGTTTTTTTCCTATTAAAACCTTTCTGAAAAGCCACAAGTTCTCCTATATAAAGGCAGCCCCTCATTTAGATTTTGCACTCTAATTTTCGTTCTTGTTTTTTGCCATTACTTTCTGCATTTTGCTGCATTTAATTTTTCTGTGAGAAAGTATATAAACACAAAGTATGTTCGTTGTGTGAATAATTTGTACTGCTGCTATTATTCGTTGTAGATCATTTCATCTAGGGAGATAGACGTCCATATTCTGTGAGCACCCTAGAGAGGATGAACCTGTCTTAAGGATATAGTGTTAATCATTCGACTTGATCAGAATTTTGTTCAAAAAAAATAATACATTTCTCTCATTTCTTTAATTCTTTCTTTGAATACGCTGAAGATTGTCCAACAATCTTAAGACAAAATTTGTTTATTTAAAAAGTCTTTTTTGTATTAATTAAAAAAAAATCATTTTCTAAACCTATTTGATTAATCCAATAAAATATTTTTTTGGTTTTTGTAACAAGAAAATTATTGTGTTGTGTTTTATTTTCTTGGTTTTAGTAACTATAAAAGTATAATTATTTTATGTTATAACTTATTTTCTGATTTTAGTAACTAGAAAATTAATTTGTGTTTTGGTTTTGGTTTTTTCTGATTTTTGTAATCAGATATTATGGCTTCTGAAAGTGGTACTCCAAATCCAATTGCTACAACGACTCCGGTCCTTACCCAAAACCATGTTCAAGTTCCAATAAATTATGGAGAAAAATCGAAAAAATTTAATGGCACCGAGTTTAAGAGATGGTAGTCGAAAATGATGTTCTATCTTACAACTCTTAATCTTGCCCAATTTCTCCGTGAAGATGCTTCAGTGCTTAAAGAGGATGAAAGTGATCGGTAAGTTGTTACCGCGGCGAAAGCATTCTGATTTTCTTTGCAGAAATTACATCCTCAATGGCCTAGACAACATGTTGTATAATGTTTACAACCCTATGAAAATAGCAAAAGAATTGTGGGATTCTTTGGAGAAAAAATACAAGACAGAGGATGTTGGCACAAAGAAATTTGTTGTTAGTAAATTTCTAGATTTTATTATGGTAGACTCCCAAATGGTTATTTCTCAAGTTCAAAGTTTTTAATTAATTTTGCATGATATTCATGCTGAGGGTATGTCTCTTAGTGAATCTTTCTAAGTCGCTGCTTTAGTGAAAAAATTACCACTGGCTTGGAAAGATTTCAAAAATTATTTAAAACATAAACGCAAAGACATGACCATGAATGAACTTATTGTAAGACTAAGAATTGAGGAAGATCACCGTAAAGCTTAAAAGAGAAATGATAAATATTGCATTGAGTCTAAGGCTAATGTAGTGGAACAAATGCCCAAACCACATAACAAAAAGAGGAAGTTTGTTGGAAATGATCCTAAACAAGGCGACAACAATGGCAATAAAAAGTTCAAAGGAAAATGCTATAACTGTGGCAAGATTGGATATCGTGCTTCTGATTGCCGCCACCTTAAGAAGGATCGCAGAAGTATAAGCAAGAAGACTACCAATCAAGCCTATGTGACAGAACTAGATTACATCTCTGATAGGGTAAATGACATCAATCTCTCTGTTGTGGTGTCTTAGGAAAATTTGGTTAGATATCCCAAGTAATTGTGGGTTGACATTAGAGCAACTACACACATTTGTGCGGACAGGAAGATATTCACTACTTATAATGAGGCTGCAAATAGTGAACAATTATTCATGGAAAATTCGTCTATTTCTGTTGTGGGAGGACAAGGGAAATTAGTATTGAAGATGACATCGAGGAAGCAACTGACCCTCAACAACGTGTTACATGTACCAGACATCCGAAAAAGAATTTAGTTTCTGGTTCTTTGTTAAGTAAAAATGGTTTTAGGCTTGTATTTAAGTTCGATAAATTTGTATTAACAAAAAGTGGTATATATGTGGGTAAGGGATACATGGGTGATGCTCTCTTCAAGTTGAATGTAATGACTGTTGTACCAAAATTTGCTATGAATGGCACTTCTTTTGCTTATATTCTTAAGTCAAATTTATGGCATGGTATATTAGGACATGTAAATTTTGATGCTTTGCGTAGGAAAAAGAATTTAGTTTCTGGTTCTTTGTTAAGTAAAAATGGTTTTAGGCTTGTATTTAAGTTCGATAAATTTGTATTAACAAAAAGTGGTATATATGTGGGTAAGGGATACATGGGTGATGCTCTCTTCAAGTTGAATGTAATGACTGTTGTACCAAAATCTGCTATGAATGACACTTCTTTTGCTTATATTCTTAAGTCAAATTTATGGCATGGTATATTAGGACATGTAAATTTTGATGCTTTGCGCAGACTAATTGGTTTAGATTATATACCAAAGTTTGAAATTGATCCTAATCACAAATGTGAGATATGTGTAGAAGCAAAACTAAGTAAGGCTCCATTTAAATCGGTTGAAAGAAAAACCAAACCTCTTGAATTAATTCATACTGATGTGTGTGATCTTAAATTTGCTCAAACTAGAGGAGGCAAAATGTATTTCATAACATCTATCGATGATTGCATAAGATATTGTTATGTATATTTACTTAATGTTTAAACTCTACAAAACTGAAATTGAAAATCAACTTAGTAAAGCCATTAAAATGGCTAGAAGTGATAGGGGTGGTGAATATGATGTACCTTTAAATGAATTTTGCGCACACCATGGCATTGTTTACCAAACTACAGCACCCTATTCTCCACAGCAAAATGAAATTGCTAAAAGAAAGAATAAAACCCTTAAAGAAATGATGAATATCATGTTACTAAGTTCAAGCTTACCTCAAAACTTGTGGGGGGAAGTAATTTTGTCTGCTAATTATGTCCTCAATAGGATACCTCACAAGAAAACGAATAGCACCCCTTATGAATTATGAAAAGGTCGACCACCTTCCTACAAATACTTAAAAGTATGAGGGTGTTTGGCAAAGGTAGAAGTTCCTGTTCTGAAAAAAGACTAAGATAGGACCAAAAACAGTGGATCCTGTGTTTATTAGTTATGCGCATAATAGTAGTGCATATTAGTTTCTGATTTATAAATCAGAAATACCTGATATACATGTGAATACTATTATAGAATTAAGGAATGTTGTTTTCTTTGTACATATTTTTCCTTACAAGAAAGGACAGGAATTAAGTTCACAGAGACAAACTTATGATTGTACACAAAGTCAAGAGACTAATGGCAATCCAATGCAAGAGACTAGAAAAGGTCTCAATCAACAGGATTTAATTGATGATGAACCAACATGAAGTAAAAGAGCGAGAATATCAAAATCCTTTGGTCCATATTTTCTAACATACCTGTTAGAAAATGAGCCTCAGAGCTTTAAGGAAGCAATGTCAGGTCGTAAAGCACCTTTGTGGAAAGAGATTGTTAATAATGAAATTGAATCCATTATGTAAAATCATACTTGGGAATTGGTGGATCTTTCACCTAGTTCTAAACCTCTTGGGTATAAATGGATATTCAAGAGAAAAATAAAAGTAGATGGTTCAATAGACAAGTATAAAGCAAGACTTGTAGTAAAAGGTTACAGATAAAAGGAAGGTTTAGACTATTTTGACACATATTTCCCTGTGACAAGAATCACATCTATCCGCATGTTTATTGCTATAGCAGTGTTGTATAATTTAGAGATACATCAAATGGATGTTAAGACAACTTTCTTAAACGGTGATCTAAATGAATAGATCTATATGGAGCAGCCCGAAGGGATTGTAGTGTCAGGGTAAGAAAACAAAGT